TCGCACACACCTCGTCTAACACCCACCCAGCCTTTGAACATGCCCAACACAATTCAAACTGACAAGAAAGTTGGACGCGCGCCAGCGTTAAATGCACGCTGCCAAACGATCTACCGCGAATCTATCATGCATGCCGCATCAGCACAGGTCACTAGCACGCTCTCGAAAGCACAAAAGGGGTCCGCCAAAGCGACCCCGTCCAGGTCGCTGCTTCGAGCCTGGCAGTGGCCTTGACACTGGGCAGTGGATCTAGCGCGACCACAGTGGATGGGCTCACTGTTCCGGCGGAGCTAACAGTAGTCAAATAGCAATCGGAAAGTATAGCCATCCGGCCAGTGAAAGAGGGTCAAGAGGTTCAGCACAAAGCAGCACACTACCGTCAGGCGGTAGCAGCAGGCAGTAAGTGAGCTGACGAAATAAAACACTGTAGGCAGTAAAACATGGTGGCGGTGGGTGGCGAATAGCTGCGAGGTGGTGTGACAGCGATGCAGTGGTCGGAAGAGCATGGGGGAAGCGTAGACAAGCAAAAGAAGCAAGTCGGCGACAGTAGTTTGGTGGTGCAAAAGAAGCTCTCCCAGCTGGGTTTGAACCGGCGACCTTGAGGTTAACAGCCGCACGCTCTACCAACTGAGCTATAGGAGAAGCACGACAAGCTAACCACCGCACCGCATTGCCAAAACTGCATTCTCAACGAGTACACACGCAACCACACAAAACCGCACCGCCGTACGCCCTCTTACCAGCTAGCGCCTCGCACACACCTCGTCTAGCACCCACCCAGCCTTTGAACATGTCCAACACAATTCAAACTGACAAGAAAGTTGGACGCGCGCCAGCGATAAATGAGCGCTGCCTAACGATCTACCGCGAATTTATCATGACATGCCGACATCAGCACAGGTCACTAGCACGCTCTCGAAAGCACAAAAAGGGGTCCACCAAAGCGACCCCGTCCAGGTCGCTGCTTCGAGTCTGGCAGTGGCCTTGACACTGGGCAGTGGATCTAGCGCGACCACAGTGGATGGGCTCACTGTTCCGGCGGAGCTAACAGTAGTCAAATAGCAATCAAAAAGCATAGCCATCCAGCCAGTCAAAGAGAGTCAAGAGGTTCAGCACAAAACAGCACACTACCGTCAGGCGGTAGCAGCAGGCAGTAAGTGAGCTGACGAAATAAAACACGGTAGGCAGCAAAACATGGTGGCGGTGGGTGGCGAATAGCTGCGAGGTGGTGTGACAGCGATGCAGTGGTCGGAAGAGCACGTGGGAAGCGTAGACAAGCAAAAGAAGCAAGTCGGCGACAGTAGTTTGGTGGTGCAAAAGAAGCTCTCCCAGCTGGGTTTGAACCAGCGACCTTGAGGTTAACAGCCGCACGCTCTACCAACTGAGCTATAGGAGAAGCACGACAAGCTAACCACCGCACCGCATTGCCAGAACTGCATTCTCAACGAGTACACACGCAACCACACAAAACCGCACCGCCGTACGCCCTCTTACCAGCTAGCGCCTCGCACACACCTCGTCTAGCACCCACCCAGCCTTTGAACATGTCCCAACACAATTCAAACTGACAAGAAAGTTGGACGCGCGCCAGCGATAAATGAACGCTGCCAAACGATCTACCGCGAATTTATCATGCATGCCGCATCAGCACAGGTCACTAGCACGCTCTCGAAAGCACAAAAGGGGTCCACCAAAGCGACCCCGTCCAGGTCGCTGCTTCGAGTCTGGCAGTGGCCTTGACACTGGGCAGTGGATCTAGCGCGACCACAGTGGATGGGCTCACTGTTCCGGCGGAGCTAACAGTAGTCAAATAGCAATCAAAAAGCATAGCCATCCAGCCAGTCAAAGAGAGTCAAGAGGTTCAGCACAAAACAGCACACTACCGTCAGGCGGTAGCAGCAGGCAGTAAGTGAGCTGACGAAATAAAACACGGTAGGCAGTAAAACATGGTGGCGGTGGGTGGCGAATAGCTGCGAGGTGGTGTGACAGCGATGCAGTGGTCGGAAGAGCACGTGGGAAGCGTAGACAAGCAAAAGAAGCAAGTCGGCGACAGTAGTTTGGTGGTGCAAAAGAAGCTCTCCCAGCTGGGTTTGAACCAGCGACCTTGAGGTTAACAGCCGCACGCTCTACCAACTGAGCTATAGGAGAAGCACGACAAGCTAACCATCGCACCGCATCGCGATAACTGCATTCTCAACGAGTACACACGCAACCACACAAAACCGCACCGCCGTACGCCCTCTTACCAGCTAGCGCCTCGCACACACTTCGGCTAGCACCCACCCAGCCTTTGAACATGTCCAACACAATTCAAACTGACAAGAAAGTTGGACGCGCGCCAGCGATAAATGCACGCTGCCAAACGATCTACCGCGAATCTATCATGCATGCCGCATCAGCACAGGTCACTAGCACGCTCTTGAAAGCACAAAAGTGGTCCGCCAAAGCGACCCCGTCCAGGTCGCTGCTTCGAGCCTGGCAGTGGCCTTGACACTGGGCAGTGGATCTAGCGCGACCACAGTGGATGGGCCCACTGTTCCGGCGGAGCTAACAGTAGTCAAATAGCAATCGGAAAGTATAGCCATCCGGCCAGTGAAAGAGGGTAAGAGGCTCAGCACAAAGCAGCACACTACCCTCAGGCGGTAGCAGCAGGCAGTAAGTGAGCTGACGAAATAAAACACTGTAGGCAGTAAAACATGGTGGCGGTGGGTGGCGAATAGCTGCGAGGTGGTGTGACAGCGATGCAGTGGTCGGAAGAGCACGTGGGAAGCGTAGACAAGCAAAAGAAGCAAGTCGGCGACAGTAGTTTGGTGGTGCAAAAGAAGCTCTCCCAGCTGGGTTTGAGCCAGCGACCTTGAGGTTAACAGCCGCACGCTCTACCAACTGAGCTATACGAGAAGCACGACAAGCTAACCACCGCACCGCATTGCAGAAACTGCATTCTCAACGAGTACACACGCAACCACACAAAACCGCACCGCCGTACGCCCTCTTACCAGCTAGCGCCTCGCACACACCTTGTCTAGCACCCACCCAGCCTTTGAACATGTCCAACACAATTCAGACTGAAAAGAAAGTTGGACGCGCGCCAGCGATAAATGCACGCTGCCAAACTGCAGCGGGGCTGCCGTAGCTTTAGCGTCAGAGGAAGACGTTCGACTCAAAGAGTCACTAATACTAAGTTCCTTATCCAAAGGACACTTACAGCCCAAGACCAGGGCTCAAAGTTAACACCTTAACTTTTATGCTTCAAAACCAGAAGTGTTTTATTTACTATTATTGCGGCCAAGCCGCCTAGGGGTAAATGTATCTCTTTAACTATCTAGCATAGTTAAACCTAATCAAATGCATAACGTGTGGCTTTCAGCCAACGTACTGAGAGACCTTGTTAACTCTCCAACTTATGTACTGAGAGTTTGTTAACTCTCCGGGTACTTCGTACCCCTGTGTGCTCCACACCATGTAACCCCGTTACACTCTCCCCCACTAAGATGAGAACATTCCGTTCTCGAAACTCTCCTCAGCGAGGTCACGTCTTGTTAAGACGGCGGAGGTTACTACACCTCACACCAGCGTTGTACAGCTCCGTGAGCTCACAAACGCCTACGCATCGTTGATGCTTAACTTCTCGTCGTCGGCCCACGGCCCAATGCTCCAAGCGCAGCGTGCATCTTGCTCTCAAGCGGTCTCAGACCTACGCTCGCGCTCCGCGCCTACTCCAAGAGCTGCAAACCGCTTAGAGCAATGCTCTTTACTCATTCGAGTCGTCGACAACAACTC